CTTGACGAGTAAATTGTCTGGCAGTAGACAGTAAAAATAATAAAGTAGGGCGCATTAGTGCAATGCAACTCAATGGATTAACTAGACACATGGGCAGATAGGCTAGTTAACCCATTAAGCACCAGAGCTCTCCCCTTGATGAGTAAAGCGTCTGGCTAGAAAACTATCAGTAAACTTACATGCTTGTCTGTCTTGTTTTGGTGGGTCTGCCGGTCTCCTTGCTTGCCTGTCTCGTTTTGGTAGGTCTGTCGGTCTCCCAGTGCATGTGGAAGGGAAGTCATTATACATCTGAGGGGTAACTATAAAAGGGTACCAATGGTGCATATATTAAATAAGTATGTTGAATACGAATATACTGTACAGTCATACCAACACTCTCCCCTTAACAAGTAAAGTCGTTCGGCATTTCAAGACAAAGAAACATAACAAATAACTAGGGATGCAATGAATATCATATCTGCCGGATATTGAGATTTTACTTCATTTTCTGTTACATGGCCACCCAATACTGGGTATTATTTACATAAGGTTCAGGCCTTCAAGATTTACAGTTACTGCAGGTTAGATGATTTGATTAGGTTAAAAAAGCAGGGGTGGTTATCATATTTTTATTCAATGATTGATAACAGGAATGCTTCTAAACACTATTTTCAAGATTTTATATGCTTGTTTGTAAATGCAGATTTGACCTTTCATTGAACTAATACAAGTGAGGCTTTTGCTACCAATGATGCATGTTTACTAGTGTTATACTGTGAAGTTCTTTCCTATTATTTCAAATCAAAATTTTATAAACACCATCACTTTTTAACCAATTAAAATGATTACTTTTAAAATTAACCTTAAATGAGGCCTGAACCTTATATATTCGAATAACCTGAATCTGGCTCCAGGGATATTTTTCAACTATCCAACAGATCCTCAACTATCCAACATATCTGGCTGGAGAGCAAAAAGACTCTACCCTGCACACCCCTACAAAGAACTTAAAGTATGTAACATAAGAAGAAATTGCTCCTTAGGTGTTAATAGGTGAAATATGGGCAAGTAGTCCACAGTCGATAATCAAAATTGTCTAGCATGACATGTCAGAGTTGAATATCAAAGTACTTAAAGTAGGTAGTGTTAGGGAAAATTGTATCTAAATATATCAACATGAAACATGGGCAGAGTCTAGCTAGACACTTTCCTTGACAAATAAAATTGTCCGGCATTAGGCAAGATAACATTTAACCAAGTGCTGAAAATTGGGCTCATTGGAGTGAATCATTGAAATGAGTAATAATTCCAAAAACCATCAAATCCTTGCCGGGGTGTATATCTCAAATATATAAAATGTAGCCCAAAGGTTGTTACATATATTATTAAACAGATCATTTGATCATGCAGGTGGCATAAATAAATGTTATTTGCTGTGTTGGTGTAATGTACTCAGGTGAATAAGATGCTTGTGTGATCTTACTCTGATTGTATATCCTCACCAGGCAGGCTTGAAAAAATATACCTGGCCACGGTGGGATTCGAACCTACGACCTTTGGAGTACTAGCCCATGGCCAATGCTCTGCCAACTGAGCTATGCGGTCAGGTCGGTTCGAGTCCAGTTCCTTCCATACCAGTGTAATCTAATAATCATGATATTTGCTGTGTTGGTGTAATGTACTCAGGTGAATAAGATGCTTACAAGTGTGATGTTACTCTGAGTGTATATATATACACCACCTGGCCACGGTGGAAAATATGCCTGCCCAGTGTGGATATACACTCGGAGTAACACCATAACATCACACAAGCATATAAAATTAAATGAATTCATATAAAGTTTGAAAGTTGCCACACAACACATCAAATTGACAACTTTTATCTAAACTGACCCACCTATATATAAATATTTATAGAAACTTATGAAAGTACCAGTTAATTGGAAACAAATCGATAAATTCTCTCAAACCATGTTTACCTCGGACATACTGTATTCCAAGGTAAACATGGTTTGAGAGAATTTATCGAACATACCTAGGTAGGCATATGAGAATTGAGTAGATCAAGTAGATGCCAACCCCTTACGAAAATCAACACTATTTTAACCCTATTTTACTTTCTATTTTATTCCTATAGAAAAACTATTTTATTTTTAACCCTATCATATTGCTATCACATATACAAATCCTATATTAAACCTATTAGAACTCTGTTTTAATTGTATTTTATGGCTATTATAAATAGGTTTTTTTGAAACAAAAAATAGCCTATTTTAAATAGATTTTATTTTTCTGAATCGGTGAAGCACAGATTAAAGTAGGTTTAAAATAGGATAAAATATATTTAAAATAGAGTGCAAAATAGAAATAAAATAATAAAGTAAAGTGAAATATTGGTAATAAAATAGATTTTAAATATACATAAAATAGGTAAAAAATAGTCGAAAATACATATAAAGTAGTGGATCAACTGCAGTATATTAACTAAAAATAGTAATAAAATTACTGCAAAAATAGTAATAAAATAGTTTAAAAATATGAATAAAATACTGATAAAACAGTAATAAAATAGTAGAATTTAAAATAGTGATAAAATAGCGAATAAAATAGTAAAAAATAGTTCAAAATTCTTATAAAATAGTATAAAAATAGTAATAAAATTGTAATTAAATAGTCGAGAGTCATAACAGTTCTAAAATGATTAATAAAATAGTTATAAAATAGTCAGAAAGTAGTAATAAAATAGTTATAAAATAGCAATAAAAGAATAGTAAAATAGTCATAAAATAGCAATAAAATAGTTAGAATGTAGCAATAAAATAGTTATAAAATAACAATAAAATACCTAATAATATATAAAAATAGTAGTTTATCCCTATTTTACTTTCTATTTTATTCCTATAGAAAAGCTATTTTATTTTTAACCCTATCATATTGCTATCACATATACAAATCCTATATTAAACCTATTAGAACTCTGTTTTAATTGTATTTTATGGCTATTATAAATAGGTTTTTTTGAAACAAAAAATAGCCTATTTTAAATAGATTTTATTTTTCTGTATCGGTGAAGCACAGATTAAAATAGGTTTAAATATATTTAAAACAGAGTGCAAAATAGAAATAAAATAATAAAGTAAAGTGAAATATTGGTAATAAAATAGATTTTAAATATACATAAAATAGGTAAAAAATAGTCGAAAATACATATAAAATAGTGGATCAACTGCAGTATATTAACTAAAAATAGTAATAAAATTACTGCAAAAATAGTAATAAAATAGTTTAAAAATATGAATAAAATACTGATAAAATAGTAGAATTTAAAATAGTGATGAAATAGCGAACAAAATAGTAAAAAAATAGTTCAAAATTCTAATAAAATAGTATAAAAATAGTAATAAAATTGTAATAAAATAGTCGAGAGTCATAACAGTTCTAAAATGATTAATAAAATAGTTATAAAATAGTCAGAAAGTAGTAATAAAATAGTTATAAAATAGCAATAAAAGAATAGTAAAATAGTCATAAAATAGCAATAAAATAGTCAGAATGTAGCAATAAAATAGTTATAAAATAACAATAAAATACCTAATAGTATATAAAAATAGTAGCACTGCAACATAGTTCTTTATAAAGTAATAAAATTGTAGTATGATAATTAAAACCAGTTAAAAAATAGTAATGAAATAATATCAAATTAGCTTAGTACCATGGTTGACAGGTATATTATCGTTTAAAATTGTATAAAATAATACACATAAAACAGTTTGTATTCTTATTAGAATTAAAACAGTTTGTATTCTTATTATTGTAAATGTAGTTTAATAAATGACAACGACCATCATGGCGGTCGTTGTTGATCCTTGTGAAATACTCAACGTTTGTGCGAACGAAACTAACAAAACCTACGAGAATTTGTTAAAGTATAAAGAATACTTCCAAGTGCAACCTGACAAGAAAATTAAATGGCTAGGAAATTTTGACGAACTGAAATGTTTGATATTTGATTTGTTTGGTGCCGATGGGAAATGGAGTTCGCCGAGAGGCTCAGCAAAGGCATTTCGAAACGATAAAATAACTATTACATATTACATATTACACCAACAAGAAATCTTTGTTATTTCAAGGCCAAGAAGGTAACCGTTTGAAAGAGGTTATATTAAATCAATCAAGTAAGAGTTCTGACTTGTTTACGGACAGTATAGTTAGTCATGAATCTATCCTTTGTGCTTCAAACAATGATAACCTGTTATATACAAGTCAAACCGTGGCCAAAACAGCTAAAATATCTATGATTAGCGACAATACTAGATCTAAAAGCGAGGTAACAGAAACAACATCAGATTGCTCAACCCTTGAAGATCTACAAGATTTTATCGACTTTTCATATCAAAATATATTGCCGCTAAGTGATAATGCCAATTTATCTTCTACCCGAACCTTTGATTGTTCTACCCCGTCTCGCCCGAGTGTTGATGACAACTCGCCTGCTATAGAGAAACTTTTTGGCACTTTCAAAAGGGAGTTTGAATCTAAGGTCGAAGCCTTGATTTTCGAACTTTCGGAGCAGAGGGAAATCATTGACAGATGTAAACAGGATATATGTAAATTGACCAGTGAAAATTTAAATCTAAAGTCAAGCCTGGCGGAACTCGAACAAAAAGCGTTTCAGTAGTATGTAAAATGCCGATTGCTGATCACTTTTTTTCATTAATATTTACCATTTTTGTAATTCTAGACGCTCTACAACGCTAAATTTGATGTACTAATTTTGGGTCTCAGACGACTGTTTTAACGCCATTTTCATGCTGTATTCACCACCGGCAATTAACAAATTACTGCTCACAGAACCTCTACAACCACTTTTTTTACTCTACCGATTTTAGCGTTCTAGACCCTCTACAACCACTAAAATAGTGCTCAGAATGCAATTCTAAATTTTTGAGGTGATTAGCTATCGGTTCAACGTTTTTTGACGATTCTCTGAAAACAGTGGTTTTGCACGTTCTAGGGCCATTTCAAGCACACTTTTGCTCATTTTTCAAAATTTTTCGTACCTCGCCCAACTCCCGAGATTTCACCGGTTTGCCTCTTCTAGATTCCCCCTAACACACATTTTATGTAAAAAACATCACTTTTATTTTCATTTTCTTCTATGAATGACAAATTGAAGTCACTTTTTACTGCTCCAACAACCTCTCCATTTACCTTCCCTATTTGGTGTAGGAATTAACTCTTAAGTCTGTTTTGACAACCTAACCGGTGATTATCCTTGCCTGAACTCAGTTTTACATGTCCATATGCAAGACTTGAGATTCCATTAGTGAGCAGGAACCTTTTATCATCGAAGGCACTCAGTGAGACCTTTCTCAAATTGTATGTTCCAACGTCATGACAGTTGCTTCTTATAACGTTCATACTATGTTTCATCTGAAGACCCTCCACCAGCGTTCTTTTATAGTCTTCATGAGTGATGAACTTTTTGATTACATACTTTTTTATACCTTTAGCTGTCTTCTCAACTTTCCCGCAGTCTTTCTCATAACTGTACATCTTTGACCGCAAACCGATGAATTCTCTTATAGGTACACCGCCAGCTTCATCCTTAAATTTACCGAGGACTTTCTTATTAGTCGCATCATAGAAGGGTGAGTCCTTACTGTAGTCGCTGGTATCATACTTATCAGAAAACTTCGCCGCATCTTTATACGCATCATCAGTGTGCAACCTGTACATTAAACTATCTGTATCCGTGAAAAGTAACTTTGCTCGACTACCATAAATCTTTCTTATATGATTATAATGAAAGTCATACATTACTGTTTTCGACAGATCAAGAATACTCATTCCAATATAAACAGGCTTGTTCAAGAGTAACACCTCCTTTACCTTCTTAACCGCAACTAAACCGCCACTTAACACTTTAGCTCTTACAAAACATGGTGAAGCAACCGCCTTTTTTAACCTATCACCATCAACCATCAGTTTTACGTCAACCCTTTTTCTAAGGTTCTCCATTGTCTTTCCAAACACAGAGTTATTCATTAACTTGAAGAAGTTTTTCTCAAAGTCATTTTTAGCAACTGTTCTCATATCAGTGTTAAACTGAATGTAACCCTTGAGCCACTTTGAATGAGCAAACTCAAGTGCTCTTCTTATTTTCACCAGCTTCATTCCCAACCCCATGTACAGCTTGAGATTATTAACATGACATACATAGGAGGTTTTCCCAGTCAGTGTGGTTACCAACTTTTTAACACCAGTTGACCTACCTCCATGAGCCTCTTTCATATACATTGCATAATCACTTAACATATCATCAGTAATTTCCATCTTCTCTGGAGCTAATGGGTAATCACTATGTAACTTATGAAGTTCACTCGGATATGCAAGATCAACCTCCAGTATCAGGCCTTTCTCCTTACCTTTACCATAATCTTCAAGCTTAATTTTATCAGCATCAATCCACCTAAATTTTCCATATGGCAGCTCCTCACTCATTGCGCACCCGTAGAGGTTATTCGCATCGAGATACATTATGTAGCTACTAGGTTTTCCAGGATCATAGTCACTCATATATTTATTATTAGCCTTCGCGTATCTATGACCAATATAGCTTACCCCACCGCGCATTCCCTTCTCAATGAACTGGTACATGTCAACATTAGAAAGCAGATCCAGTTTTACACCTGTCCTTTTCAGCATAGCGTCCCAACTAAGGCCAGGAGCAGATATGTAATGTGCAGGGTCTAACTTATAACTGTCAAGACAAACTCTTCTGAAGTCCTCAAATACATCCGCCAACAGTAACACGTCAGTCTTAAGATATAAGTCATGATAATCACCTAAATTCTTACAACTAAACTTCTCATACACATTACATGCTCTAAGATAATCATCATCACTAACCTCCTCCTTATACAATGAACTGTAGAATGCAGATTTCTCAGGCAAGCTCTTCTCACCAAATTTCTCCCAACAACTCATATAATCGTAAGGATAAACTCCCTTATTAAGTAGCATCTCAAGCTCCTCTCCTTGCCATTCACTCTGCATTCTCCCAAAACGATCATTGTTAAGGTTCTTCACAAGAGCCTCAAGACTACTGCTCATGAACTGCATCGAGTCAATGAAGACCAACTGTTTACCAACTGTGAAGGACATATATTTTTGCATGTTATTTGCAATCACTTCAATCTTCTCACCAAGTTCAGCAACACCTTGCATAATAAAGTTACCATCATAGCCGCGTAGATTGTGAAACACAACAGGAATCTTTCCAGTCAACTTATGATTCAGGTTACATGAATTATGAGCAGCACCTCTAAACTTACCAGTAACATGACAATGATCAAGCACCTTCTTATCACCCTCACTAAACTTACCACCACAAATGTGACACTCAGTTGCCTTTTCAAGTTTATCATAATCTTTTACACTCATGACAACTTCCTTGTTGAACTCATTTTGTATAATTTCATTACACTTCTCAACTTCACCCAACAGCTCACTCAGGAATCTACCAATTGCGCCAACTCCCCTATAGCTCCTATATTCACCATCATACTTACCATCATAGTAACACACTCTTTTGAAACCATAACTACACATCTCATGGTCATGCGTCTTACGCAGACATTTACCCTCCCCATCAACAGGAATCAGCAAAGATTCAAAGTCGGCATATATCACAAACTGAACAGGTAACTGTCTCTTATGATTTTTGAATACAACTTTACTACCTCTTTTTGGCATCATAGTTTTCTGCGTTCCATTCACCTCTCTACACGTCCCACTATGTTTATCCAATCGTTCCTGTGAGTTGAACCCATTAAGGCAACTAAGACAGTAAAATCTCTTATGTTGAGTCTTACTTAGACTACTGAGTAACATGCTAATATCCCTCACAAGGACATAGTGAGTATTTCCCTCAGCATCATCTATCAACAGCAACTCCATGTGATCCTTATAGTCAAACTTTGATGTATACCTCGGAAAGAACATCTTCTCTCCCTTCAACATAATCACAGTCATTCTGATCTTATTTGCCTTCTCAATTTTAGGGATATCATCTATCCTCACAGGGAACTTGATACCGTTGTAGTTAAGTGTCTCAGCAAACTTCCTATCAGCCTTGGTAATCTTAGTTGCTCTCTGACCCGGACGCAGATGTCTTACATGACACCATCTAAAGCACTCATCATCATCAGTGTTCACAATGTTAATTAACCCATTCATATCAGACTTCAGAGGAGCAGGTAACTCGATAAATGAACTGCCAACCAACGGATTGAAATGAACAACATCAACCTCATGTTTCTCAACTAAGATCACCCTCCAATTGCTACCACGATCCTGGTAAGATTCAATCTTAGCTATAATTCTCTCAGCACTAAGTCTAACCGCATCTTCAACTTCACTTTCATTCTTAACGGTTATAGTCTCACTTTCCATTGGAAGATCAACAGCAGCGTTCTTACTAAGAAGACCCTTTACCATTTTCAGCACAAGAGTCTCGACAAACTTAATAGGTTGATCAAGGACAGATTTGAGCAGATTACCCACAATCTCGCGGCTAACATCAAGTTGTCCACCAAAGTCAGGTCTACTTATACCCAAAGAGAACTTCTCGACTGTTCCCTCATCACTTTCACCAGTCTTTGCATAAGTTATGGTTTTATGTAGTGTTGGAGTAGCTGATTCACCGATAACCTCAATTCCTTCCTCGCCGGCTCTCATTGCCGCGATATTTCTCTTTAGCTTCCTGTTATCATTTCTAAGTGCACCAAGACTCTTTTTGTTGGATTCACTTTCCTTCTTTAGCTTTCTGTTATCCTTCTCAAGAGCCTTAAGCTTCTTTTTCAGTTCCCCTGTTTCCTTATCACAAGCCTCATCTTTTGCCATCATAGCGGCCATCTGAGCTTGCACCTTAACCATCATCTCAGCATAAACCTTCATCGTATCAGCAGGATTTTCCATCTTCTTCTCTATATTATATATGTCAAAATTTTTTCCTGTATTTATTGTCGATTTGTTTTCCATTTTTACTCTATACTATACGTGATGTTTAACGTAATTATCCTATTTTCACAGACGGCCTCCACAATACCTATTTTACCTGTCAGGGAGACCCCACACTATCAATTTCGGTCTTTACAGAGCAGTTATTTAGTTTTCTGTTTAAATCAAGGTTTTCGAGCTCAGTTCGCTTCTTCAGCTTTCTAATTAACCATTCTCTGTAGTATTTACAATCACGCGGTTCCCAACCAAGAATAGGATAAACCCGACCAAATAGAATATCTTCATTTTGTAAAATTACCTCTTTACTCCTAGAGTCAGTAATAGTTGTATCAATACCAAGTCTGCTGCAGGTTCTCAATACGACGCTCTTTAGCTGAGGCATTCTAACTCCACCAAGTTTATCTACAACATTTCTAATTTTCATAAGGCAGTCCAACAGTGTATGGTAGTCTTCCCCGCTGTGATGCTTTTCCAGCAGTTTCTTAAACTCGAATTTCTTCCAACCATCCATTTATATTATTATTATTATTATATTATAGAAAGATTACACATTGAATAGCTACAGTAGGTAACTAAATTAGAACGCGCATTACATATATATAGAAAATATACATTAACTACTGAACTATCTACATTAGGTATTATAAAAGTTTCAAATGAGATATTTATATTAAAAAAAGAGAGTTATTAACAAAGGTTCAAATGGCGAAACAAATGGACTGATCCAAAAACTATCACTACGTGTTAAAAATGTTTCGATAAAAATATATAAAGTTATATTATATATTATGTTATAAAATAGAGTTATTATAGAGTTCAATTGACAAAACGATTGGACTGTTCCGAAAACGTTCTGTTCTGTAGTGGTAATTGTAAAACAATTGACCATTCTGACGTGTAACCCTTTGCCGTACCTTGCAAAGTTTATTAGGAAGAAGATGGTGCAGTTTGTGTTGCGGGTCAGACATTTTACTGATAAGATCAATGCACATAGTATTGCGACGTTGTTCAAGCGTATGCATTCCAGCTTTCAACAATAACTTTCCGTAATCTTTTTCGGAATAAATTATTCTCAAAGCCCTTCTTTGTACTTTCTCAATACTGCTGCTCTGTGCTTTAGTAAGGCCCCCATGCCAGACTTGCGCTCCATATTCAAGTGTCGGCCTGATGGCAGAGATGTAAAACCGTTTCATATCAATCTTGTCAGCACCGTATTTCTTTAAAGTTTTTAATAAAAAGAGTCGCTTAACTGCTTTCCCTATTATATAATCAGTATTAGTTTGCCACTTTAAATTATCGTCAATCCATAAGCCCAATAGTTTGAAAGTTGAAACCCTTTCCAACGTTGTATCATTGAATGTTAGTGGTGGAATAACTGTTTTGTTCTGACGGAAATCTAACTGCATTTCCTTACATTTTTTCAGGTTCAACTCCATTTTTTGAGACGTGGCAAAATCCATAACTTTCATAATATTATTGTTCATACTCCCAACTTGCGTACCCGAGACATGATCACGGACGTTAATAACCTCTGACAATGTTGTATCATCCATGAAAAGAGTGAGGTCATCATCACCATCACCATTATCATCATTGCTTGAATTAGTCAGACTGCTCTCGGTATCTTTTATCACTGCCTTCAGTCCGTTAATGTGAACGACGAACGCGATTGGACCAATACGACTACCTTGGGGAACTCCCCCATTAATCATGCATCTTGTAGAAAATTCGTTACCAAATCTTGTGACTTGCGTCCTCTTACTCAGATATGACCCCAACCAGCCAATCAGCCCCGGTCTGACTCCAATTTTACAACAGTTGTCTAATAGCAGGTTGTGATCAATAAGATCAAATGCCTTGCGAAAGTCCAAAAACACAATTCGTATTACTCGTTGTGATAAGTCCAACGCTTTATTCCATTTGTGTAGAAGGTGAACGAGCGCAAGAACTGCTGACGAGCGTGGGACACCACCATACTGTTCCTTACAAATTTTAGACTCAATATCGTCATACATCCAATCAACCACGTAAGACTCCTGTATTTTTGAAATTGTGCTAGTGAGAGCTATTGGTCTTATTTCATCCAGATTCGTGCACGGTTCCACTTTTGGTATAGGTGCTAGGCGGAACTCTTTCCACAGTTTTGGAAACACCTTCTGCCCAAATGATGCATTAAAAATGTTTGCTAATGGGATGGCAAAAGAATGCGCAAACATTTTGATTATCTTGAGGTAGGGGTCGTTTGGACCTGGAGCTTTGTGAGACTGAATGGAGAAAAGCTTTTTCGCAACGCTTTCGGGTGTAACAGTCGGCAAGACATCTGAATGACCGTACAATGACCATCTGGGTTGAATTTCTGGGAAATCATTTGTTAGATCTGAAAAAAACGTATTAATCATATTTGCAGCATCACTATCTTCGAGTTTGGAGTCTGATCCCTGCTCACTGAGATTGATAGAAGGTTTCTTCTTTCCAGTCAGTTTCCAGACCTTCTTCCACCACATTCGGGCATCCCCGTTGGTATTCAGCTTTCCAATGTTCATTACATAATAGTGCCTCTTTGCCTTTGTAATTTCCGATGCTACTCTATTACGAAGTTTCCTAAACTTCTGCATTATTCCTTGTTTGTATGCGTTATCTCGCTTCCTTAGTAACTTTTTTATTTTTGTTGTTATAAAAAATTTATCATCGGAGTGCATTCGAACTGTTTTCTCCGGGAAATAGTAATTAATCATGTCGTTAGTAGCTCTGGTGAAATCCTCAACCTTTTCATCTACGTTCTCAAGGTTTAGTACGGTTGACCAATCATATTGGGCAAGACAGGAACCAAATTGTTGCAGGTTATATCTTGGCGTTGGACGAAATTTAATTTTCTTCACAATGTTTACCGAGCGCTGCTGTGATTTCGCCATCCAAATAACCATATTATGGTCTGAGGTAGACAGTGGTGCAATTACTTCAGGGGGGTTATAATGTGAGCTCATGTTAGTAAAAATAAGATCTAGGATATTGGAGTTTCGTGTCGGATCCTTAACCACTTGCTTTAAATTAAAATCACAATAGTCAGAAAGACACTTCATATCAAAACCGTTGCTACAGGGATTAAAATCTCCAGCCACAATAAAACCTGTTTCTGGACTTTCAGATGATACTTTGTCATAACACGAATAAAAATAGTCATAAAACTTTTCTAAGTTTACTCGATCAATTGAGGGAGGAAGGTATACACAAGCAACAGCAATTCTCGAAATTGTTCGTGGAAGCCACTTTGGACGCATAATTAGCCACTGACATTCAAAGCTC